ATGATAATCAATATCAATGTGCTTACTGCGAGCATGCTGAATGGGATTAGCAGATAAATATGAGGCAGAAATATTATCACATAAAAGCCGAACCGGTCGATGCAGAGGAAATCCGAGCTCAAAAAGTATAGACCGGATATGTAGCGTGTCTTGCACCGTATATGCAATAGCGCGATACTCAGCTTCAGTAGAGGATCTGGAGATAGTGGGTTGCTTCTAAGAGCGCCAAGAGATCAAATTCGAACCCAGAAAAACAGCATAGCCAGTAGTGGACCGACTACTATCAGGGCAACCAGCCCAGTCAGCATCAGAGTACGCAAGAACTGAGAATGGGCGTTCTGCCGGCCGAAGAAGAAGCCCATGCGTGAGAGTGCCCTGCAGATACCTGAAAATTCTCTTCACAGCCAACATATGTGAAGTACGGGGTGCATGCATAAATTGAGAAACCAAGTGAACAACATATGTAATATCAGGTCTAGTCATAGTCAAATACTGCAATGCACCTACCATGCTACGATACTTTGTAGGATCAGCAAGTAACTCACCATCAGTGAGAGACAACTTAGTTCTATTAGGGAGTGGCGTGCGTACAGATTTAAGAGTGTAAAGGTGAAAACGGTGTAACAGATCTGACACATATTTGGCTTGAGATAAAAATAAACCATTAGAATTGCGCACAGCCTGAACTCCCAAGAAAAAATGGAGATCACCAAGATCTTTCATAGCAAAGTATTTCCCTAGAATAGAAATAAACTGACTGATAAAAGATAAGGAATTAACAGTAATAATAATATCATCCACATATAAAAGTAGATAAAGAATGCGTGTACCATGACGAAAAATGAACAGAGAATTATCAGCACGACTGCATACAAAATCATGAGTTAAGAGAAAGCTACTGAAACGATAGAACCAGGCCCGGGGAGCCTGTTTAAGACCATAAATGGCCTTGCGCAGGCGACATATGTGATGAGGGAAGTTGGGATGAATAAACCCGGGTGGTTGACGCATATACACCTCTTCAGTCAAGTTACCATGAAGAAAAGCATTTTTAACATCCAACTGGCGAATAGGCCAATTATAGGAAACAACTAGTGTGAGAACAATTCGAACAGTTGTGAGTTTAACAACAGGACTAAAGGTTTCGGAAAAATCAATCCCTGCATGTTGCTTAAACCCTTGAGCAACCAGACGTGCTTTATGACGTTCAATAGATCCATCAGACCGATATTTAGTTTTATAAATCCATTTAGACCCAACCACATTTTTACTAGAGTCAAACGGCACCAACTCCCATGTTTTATTAGCAATAAGTGCATTAAATTCCTCAGCCATTGCCGCTCTCCATTTAAGATCTTTATTAGCAACAGAAAAACAAGTAGGATCATGAATCAAAACCTCAGTGTTTAAATTAAAAATCGTTTTTGGTTTAAAAATTCCTGATTTAGATCGTGTTTGCATGGGATGAATATTTTGGATCAAGGACGGATGGGACACCGGACTCGCACTATCATCCTCGCTGCCAGACGATGAGAGATCCGACTGGGCAGTATGCACCGGTGAGCTAGGTAGCGCCGGCGAGCTGGTTACCGAGGCATCCCCAGCTGTCGGTGTACTGCTGGAACCAACCGGCGCCGTATCTGGAGCAACCGGGGACGAAGATACTGTCTGGGAAGCAGATACCGAGGACGAGTTGCGGGAGACCGGTAAGAAAGATGGAAGAGGCGGTGGCTGTCCAGTAGCACTAGAGGATAATGGAGAGGAAGACAGAGGGTATGATGGCAATGTGGTAAGCTGAGAAGACTGTTGGGACACCAAGGCAGCATACGGAAAAATATTCTCATGAAAACGAACATGACGACTGACATAAATCCTATTTGTCCTGGGATCTAAACAACGATAGCCCTTGTATTCCGATGCATAGCCTAGAAAAACACACTGAGTGGAACATGGAGAGAGCTTGTTGGCCGAAGTAGCAGAAAAATTGGGATAGCAAGCACATCCAAAAACACGCATAAAAGAGAAGTCTGGAGTCCGGTGAAATAATTTTTCGTACGGCGAAAAACCAGTAAATTTAGTAGAGGGTAGACGATTAATAATAAAAGTAGCAGTTAAAACAGCCTCTACCCAAAAAATTGCTGGTAGGCCCGGATCAATCAACATGGTTCTAGCTAACTCAAGAAGATGTCTATGTTTTCGTTCAGCTAGACCATTTTGTTGAGGGGTGTCTGGGCAGGATTTTCGAAAAAGAATGCCATGAGTATTAAAAAATGACCGCATACTTGAATTATCAAATTCACCCCCTCCATCACTTTGAAAAATTTTAATTTTATGATCCAATAAATTTTCCACCAGACATTTAAAAGATTGAAAATGTGTGAAGACTTCACTTTTACGACGCATAGGATAAATCCACGTAAAACGAGAATAATCATCAATAAAGGCAACATAATACTGGAAATCAGAAGATGAAAGCACAGGAGATTGCCAAACATCAGAATGTATTAAAAACAATGGTTTATTAGCAGTATGAAAAACATCTTGAAAAGGTAATCTTTGAGATTTACCCAAACGACACGAAGTACAATCATGATTAAAAGAAGTAAGACTGCTAAGTTGACTTGACTTTCTAAGACCATCTAAAACTCTAGTGCCACAATGTCCCAACCGATGATGCCAGTGGTCCAGGTGCTGCGCTAGAGGACAAAGCCAATGGTGGTGATGGAGAAAAATGAATGGGATAAAGATTGCCGCTACTGGAAGCCTGAAGAAGAACCACCCCCGTGATTTTGTCCTTAATCAAAACAAAGTTTTTATAAAAAATAACCATTCAATTATTGTTAGAACACAACTTGTGAATAGACAGCAAATTATATTTAATTTGAGGGACATGATAAACAGATCTTAAATGAATAGGCTTTGACAAGGAATTAATAGAGATATCACCAATATTTTTAATGGGTAGATTAGTTCCATTAGCTACAGTAACAGCAAGTGGCCCAGAATAAATAGATTTATTAGCTAAAATACCTTTCTGATGAGTCATATGCGCAGAAGCACCGGAGTCTGGAAACCAGACATCGTCATTTTGGTCACTCATAGGTGCAGCAAGAGTAGGGGCAGCCGGCTGATTAAAACGGGACGGACATGAGACATCAGAATGACCTGGAGAATAACAAATTTGACATACAACTGGCGGGGAAATAGAACCAAACTGTCCATCAGCTAAGGGTGAGCCTGCAAATCTGTGGTTAGTACCAATAACAAAATAGGGATGCGTATTGGACGATGAAAAAACTGAATTACAAAGTGTTGTACCTGATTGTCCCTGTGGAGGTGCACCTGCCGGTGGAAAAGGAAAATATCCCGGTTGAAAGTAGCCGCCCTGTGCTGCGGATCCAGGCCTCGGCTGATAAGGGTATGGCGGATTGGCTGCATAACCTGGCTGCTGGCCATAGCCACGGCCTCTGCCGCGGTTGCCCCGACCTCGCTGACCACGGTTCCCGCGACCACCACGGCCCTGAGCTTGTTGGCCGCGATTATCCTGCCCGTTCCCAGCTGGAGGCGGCTGCTGCGCCGCAAATGCAGTGGGCGAAGGGACAGTGTCCTGAGAACAGAGGTATTGAATGCGATGCTCCTGTTCGATCAATCTAATGCGTAATTTCTCAAACGTGAGTCCCTCCGGGAAGGTGGTCAGAGTTGTCATCATGGATTCATATTCAGGACCAAGACCAAGTAGAGTTTGCTCAAGAAGATCTTTCATAGGTACTGGTGAATTAATGGCTGCGAGAGCTTCTGCAATCTTTTGGATCTCACGCATGTATTGTTCCATGGTCTGATTTTCTTTCTTTTTGCAATTACTCATTAATCGTTTTAATTCCATGGAACGCGCTAAACTAGCAGCCATAAATCGTGATTCTAGACGTTCCCAGATGGTAAAAGAATTTTTTAATGTATGAACTTCAACAAGTATATCATGAGATAAAGTAGCAAACAACCAAGAACAGACTGTTTGATCTAACTTTAACCAGTAAAAATAATCATTATTTGTTACCTCCCTACGAAGAGCATCAAGTATATAAGGAGGAGGAGCATGAATTGTACCATCTAGGAAGCCCAATAATCCATGAGAAACCAAAAAGGATTCAAACTGAGTTCTCCAGGGTAGATAGTCTTCAACCGCATCAAACCTTGTTGTAACAATATTAGTAATATTTGGAGTAGAAAATCCCATGGATTGAACAATAGCCTCAAGTGCCGATCCAGACGAAACAGCAGGCTGTCGAGGAGCAGCCGGCCGAACCACTGGTGGCGGCGTGACACCTGGCGAGCCGGAAAACGTAGGGCCAGCATACTGTGGACGTGATTCAAAACGCTCTGGCTGGAGAACGGCATCTGGCCTAGGACGGGGACGGCCTGCCGGAGACGCCCAATCGAAAACCGGTGGAGTCGACCAGTCAAAGGTTGAAGGTAACGAGGCTGCTGAGATAGGCTGCATAACAGATGAACTGGCGCCAAAAGAGAGACTGAGCGGAGCCATCATCGTGGAAGATGATGCCGGTAGGATGACCGCCGGCGCTGCCGTGGACGGTGGCGCGACTGCGGCGGTAGTGGCGGGCGTTGATGCCATAGGATCGAAAAAAAAAACTTAAAGAAACCCTAGGGCTCTGATACCATGTGGAAATAATAAACAGACTTAACCAGACTGATAGCCCTGACTGTATATTTATAATGAAATAAGTCTCCAAATACAATTAGGATACTGCCTAATAATTAATACATAATTAATTCTACTCTATTAGTGACAACTGGGATGAAGTGAATTATTCAAAGATTTGTATTTAGATGAAAAAAATTAGGACGCAATCAATCATAAAATGTAAATTATATCATATAATCGGATATATCATGTGCACGATACAGTCAAATTTTTATACGACATATGTCGAATATTTAACTAAGATCTATTGAAATAATACGACCCGATTGAAGTTTATAAAGCAGGTGCAGCCATGAGATAACATACGTCTGAAGCAACAAATTTACAAAACTCCTCCCTCCTATAATTCCCCTAAAAAATGCTATCAGAAGTGGAGGGCATGGGGTGGATATCCGGCAATGGCGGCTTAGAAACCAGCAGCCAACCGGCCGCTAGTATGGGCAGCATGTCAGCTGCCCCCCCATTCAAATCCTTACTGCTGGAAGACGTGGGCTGCAACTGGTACATGCCCTCCTTCCCCGACCCCAACAGTCTGTTCATGAACCCAGCACTCGAGTCCTCTTCATCCTCTTCTCCCCTGTTCTTCGGTTTGGGAAGTCACAACCCGTTTCTGGATCACCATTTTCTCACCAGAGGAACTGGGATTTCGAGCGGCGGATTTTGCGATTTCAGTACCCAGACCCCCCCACTCGGGGCTCCAGATTTCAATCTCCACGGCGGATCTTTGGGATTCAATAACAGGCCGTCTAAGTTGTTGAAGCCGCTGGACCGTTCTGGGACGTCCATGGGAGCACAGCCCACTCTGTTCCAGAAAAGGGCTGCTGCTGCTGCTGTGAGGAGGAATAATCTTGCGGCGGCTAACATCACCACGGCTGATGACAAGAAGACGGCGGCTGAAACGAATGGGGATGAAGTGGAGTATTGGAATGATTCAGATGATGCGTTAGTGCAAAAGGAGATTGAGGCTGAGGAGGAGGAGGATGCTCAGAATAACCACAATGGCGGCGGAGGAATGAGTACAACGGTTACGGGCGGAGGAGATCAGAGAGGCAAGAAGAAGAAGAAGGGGCTTCCGGCCAAGAATTTGATGGCGGAAAGGCGACGCCGCAAGAAACTCAATGACAGGCTTTACACGTTGAGGTCTGTCGTCCCTAAGATTAGTAAGGTACCCAACCTGCCTATCTGCTTTCATTTCAAGGAAAATCCTCTCATCTCTACACATTTTTAATTACAACCCCTAGCTATTTTGTCTTTGTACAATTGTACAAACTCAAATTGTCTAATAAAATGAAGAGATTTTGGCAATTGGCTACATACACTCATACACATGACCACATGAGCATGTGTATATCAAGAATTGTCCTCTAACTCGCGGCGCTACCACTTAATTCTTTGTTTCTTTGTTTATTAGATCGGGTCTAGTAAATGTCTGGTCTCCGTGTGTTTTATAAATTTTCAAGTCTTATCTTATCTAATTTGAGACTTCAAAACAATCCAAATAAAAAACCATCCAACCTGTTAGCTAGGTTTGCTTAGATCCTAATTACCTTTGAAAAACTAACTAGAATTCATCAAAAATGCCCGCTATCACGTGAAATGTTTAATCATAAACACAAATAAGTTGTTTTAATAGTAGTTTGGGACTCTAAATAACTCGAACGCCATATTTCGAATTTCCTAAGGAATTGAAAATTGACGGAATTCAATATTAAAGAGTGAAGTGGCGAAAATTGACTAGGTGCTATAGGCGCCCGTTTTCTCTCTATATATACTCCATGTGGGAGGCCTTGTAAATCTATTCAATATTTTAGACATTCAATAACATTCGTCATCTTCTTCTCCACTTCTCTATCTCTAAATCTCTCCACAATTATGTGTTCGGATACCCCATTATCCATCAATACTAATCCCCACATAACATGACCGACTAGTGAAAAGGTGAAGCCCTAGGTGACCGCCTAAGCCGATTTTTAGAACATGTGTCTAGCTATTAATTATGATATACACCGTACAACTTAACAAGTTGGTGATCGGGACTAGGTAGAGGATAGCTCGAGACCGTTGATGTCCGCCATCATATCGACATCGGTTGTTAGTAGTGTTGTCACGAACAATGTCCATTACAGCATGTTAATGGTCGGCTTCTAGTTTAATTTCTTCTCTGTTATAATGGCAGCTGCTAATATTGGACATCACCACCGCTTTGATAAGTAGAAGATTAATTTCACTTACAGTAGCTTTTGCTTGGCCTCCACAGTAGTACGATATTAGTTTTCTTAATACTGTATTAGTTATGCTAGTACGTAGTATTAAATACTTTGAAGTTGTAGTTCTAATACTACTAGACATCTTCTTGTATTTGGAATATATTTATATATAGAGAGAAAACCGTCAGATAGACACCGGTAGTATATCCAAATAGTCAATTAAACCCCTCGATTAAAAAAACGATCAATTATGTCTTTAAGCGTTACAAAATTGAACAAAATTGTTCAATTTTGTAATCTAGCGGTGGTGATCTCCTTCATCTCCAAAGTAGCCTTCTTCTCCATTTCTCCCGTCTTTCACCCCCTCCGGCCAAACGCTGAAACACATCTAGCCCTTGTTTTTTCACCCCTACAGCCAAATAAATATATGCCCTTCTTCTTTTCTTCTCCTTGTGTTTCACCATTTTTAACATCCTTGAATATCATTATTCTTTAATCATTCGGCACCCCCATCACTTCCGGCGGGAGGTCGACGAGAAAGAGAAAAGCAAAGGTATGGACTTATATGAGACATCCTTCTTGTTCGAATCAAGGTACAACGGTGACACGTACTCGGATTTTAATTTCACTTACAGATTCCGATTGAGGCGACGAGTTTGGTTTGAATAGCAGGGAACTCCTCTTCTTCGCGTTGTTGCTGCTTCTTTGATTTTTCTCAATGAAATCTAGCACCGGAGACTCAGCGAGTAGGCATAACGTGGAGAGGTGGATTGTAACAACGGCACGGGCGGTGGCGGTTTCAGAAGCATAGCCGGGGATAGTTGCTACTTCTCCTTCTTCTCTGTGCTTCAGTGGATTTTCGCGTTGTCTTCTGTGTTATTGTCTTCTACATCCTTATTAAATACTAGGAATCTAGAGTATTCTACGACAATGTCTATCTACTCTAGATTTTACATAATAATTCTCTAGTAGAATATTCTCTAGAACATTATTTATTTTAATTCTCTAGAACATTTCTAGCTTTAACTGCATAGAATATTCTAGATAAATGCATCACTTGTTAATAATTATGTTTATATTCTCTATATAAAAATAATTACTGTCAAACTTGGAAAATGTTCACAGTCCATCGCACTCAAAGCTTGTTAATGTCAAAATGTGAATGGCACCAGGTATTCCTATTAACAAAATAAAATATGACGGTCATATTTTGAAATTGAGAAACATTTTTACTTCAATTTAAGGTCCTTTGTTTACTTTTTTTTAACCGAATCACAAGCCTTTCATTAAATTAAAGAGCCATTTGCTACATGGCTTACAATGCACTCTGGTATCAGATTATAGCTACTACTATGATCTGAGATCCCAACATGAGCTCTAGCTAATGCGTGAGCTGCACGATTCGCAGATCGTTTACAAAAAGAGATTTCAAAATTCCTCTTAGTTTGAAGCAAAAGGCAGATATCATCAATAACCAAATCCCTGTACGTGAAGCCCTCCCCTTGATGAATGCCTCTGACAATTATCTGAGCATCTGACTCAATCTCAACCTTTTCCCATCCTTCCTTTATAGCCCTTAGCACAGCCTCATGAATGCCCACAGCTTCTGCCTCAGCCGGAGACCATTCCGCCTTACATGATTCTCCATGAGCTTTAATGAACTCCCCTTGGTCATTTAATGCAATCCAACCCCAAGCTCTAATTCCTCCCGCTTCATCCACCGCAACATCAACATTTACTTTTATTCCTCCCACTTCATCCACCGCAACATCAACATTTACTTTTATTCATCCACCGCAACATCAACAATTATTTCTACATGATTCCCGTTCCTCGCCGAGTCTCTCGGTTTTAAACAGGTGGATTGTGCCTCTCTACAAGCCAGAAACATGTTGGAGCAGAAATTAATTACCCCCGCCGAGCTCTGACCCTTTCCCTCCCATACAACTGAATTCCGCCTTTTCCAAAGTCCCCACGCCAGCATCGCCACTCTGCATCGTGCCTCCTTATCGGATACTGAAAGATGCTTTTGTACCCAATCAACCAAGGACTCCTCCAAACTGCGTAACACCACGTTGGCCTCCGCCCAAACTTGTTCAGCCCTCAGGCAGGTCCTCAGCGCATGCTCCGTGGTCTTAGCCTCCTGCTCACATACCTTGCACAAATTCTGCACTGCCACTCCCCTGCGCTCCAAATTTGCCAATGATGGCAGTGAACCATCTAAGACCTGCCAAAGAAAATATTTTACCTTTTGTGAGATTTTTAAATCTCATAAATCTTTCCAGCCGCTCCAACTGCTAGTCACCTCCCCATGCATTAAGGTTCGATAGCAACTTTTGACTGTAAAAATTCCATTATTTTCCCCTTTCCACCAATAGCCATCCTTCTTATCTTACATGCTAATTGGGATACTTGTGATGATTTTCCTTTCTTCTTCGTTAAAAATTGCTGATATTCGGTCCCTATTCCACCTTTTACCAGTGATATCCCTCAGAGCCGCCACATTCATATCTGTAATACCAGCTGGCTTGGCTGACTGAATTCTCCCCGGTCCCGGGCCTGGTAAGCATGCATCAGCCCAGACTTGAACATCCATGCCATTCCCAACTCTTTTTTAACATTATTTTTCAGCACACTTTGGGTTTCATATATACTTCGCCAAATAAAAGATGGATTGCTACCCAGCTTAGCCTTCAAAAACTCCGAGTTAGGAAAACAGCGAGCCTTCAATATGCGCCCCATCAGGCTCCCCGGGTTAGGTAGCAGCCTCCAACCTTGTTTAGACAACATGGCTAAATTAAACTCCTGTATTTTCCTAAACCCCAGTCCACCTGTTCCCTTCAGTTTACACATGAGCTCCCAGCGTCTCCACCTGATGCCTTTTTGGTCAAATTTAGTTTCTTTCCACCAGAAGCCATTCATAAGTTTCTCAATCTCATCACATAAATCACGAGGTAAAAGGAACACATTCATAGCATAAGTAGGCATGGCTTGAACCACATTCCGAAGTAACACTGCCCTACCAGCTCGTGACAAAAATCGGTTGTTCCCATTTTTAATTATGTTAAATATTCTATCACGGATATAACCAAGGATAGCCGACTTACCTCGCCCGATCAGACTCGGAAGGCCCAAGTACCGTTGTTGACCGCCATACCGCGAAACTTCAAAAAAATTACAACATTGCTCCTTGAACGATTCGATAACATTCTGACTAAAAGAGATAGAGGATTTAGCAAAATTAATTGTCTGGCCTGAGCAAGCTTCATACTCCTACAAGATCTGCTTAACTGCACAACATTCATTACTACTCGCTTTAAAAAATAAGAAACTATCATCCGCAAAAACAAGTGTGTAACACGTGGGGGCACCCCTACACACCGCCACCCCGTGAATATCTCTCCCTTCTGCTCAGCCTTACGTAAAAGGGCGCTTAGCCCCTCTGCAACAAGTATAAAAAGATAAGGGGATAGAGGGTCCCCTGGCGAAGTCCCCGACCCGAGCTAATCGGCCCCAAAAAATCTCCATCAAATTGGACATAGTAGCTAACAATAGTGACACATTCCATAATAATATGAATCCATCGACTGCTAAATCCCATCTTGCTCATAACTCTCCTCAAGAAATTCCAATCAACTCTATCATACGCTTTGTTCATGTCAAGCTTGAGAGCGTCAAAATCATCCTTTCCATAGGTCTTTCTTTTCAGAAAATGTTGAGTCTCAAAGGCTACAATAATGTTATCAATAATAGATCTACCAGGTATGAAAGCACTTTAACTTTCCCCCACCAACAAATCCAAAATCCCTTTAAGTCGATTCGCTAGTATTTTAGAAAAAAAATTATATATCACGTTGCATAGCGCAATAGGCGTTTTAACCTCTTCCGGATAGATAGGCTTTAATAACATATTATTTTGATCAGTTGTAACCTGAGCAAAATCCCCCCTGATATCATTAGACTGACTCGACTCTGATGCCTAAAAAAGAGAGGAGAAATAATCCATGACAATTGTTTCCAACTTTGCCCTATCAGTAGTCCACGATCCATCCGCCGTTTTAATACTAGTCATCCTATTCCTTCTTCTCCTTTGTTTCACAGCATTATGGAAAAAGCGAGAATTAATATCACCTTCTTTGAGCCAAAATTCTTTTGCTCTCTGCTTCCAAAACAAGTTCTCTTTTTCCATGAGTATTTGAAGCATTGTTCGGACCCTCAGGAATTCAGCCACACTTGCTCTATCCTCTTTCCCACGCAGCCATGATAATCTCCTTTTGCAGGCCAGAATTTGATGTCTAAATCCCCGCTTTCTGCCTCTGTCCCAGCAAACAAGCTCATTTCCACATAAGGAAATCCTGTCATTAATTATCATGTGAGCTGGTGCGCCCCAACTGTTGGTCACCACCAAGCGACACTCCTCTTCCTTCACCCAATTATTTTCGAACTTGAATCTTTCCTTTCTGCTAGCATTGTTTGGAGCAACAATCTTCATCCATAGGGCCATATGGTCACTTGTCGGGGCTTCAATAGAGGCCGTTTGCGCCTCCATGAAAGTGTTCCACCAATCATTATTAACTAGTATTCTATCAAGGTTTTCTTCAACCCAATAAGGCCCTTTGCCTCTCTCCCATGTCCACTGGTACCCCGAAAATGGAAAATCTCTTAAACCACAGCTATAAACCGCCTCTCGAAAACCGCGAAGCCTCCACGGCTCACTGTAGTTCACGGCCAAGTCCTCCAGCAATGCCCACGCTTCTCGTCGACGACGGGTCTCCGGAAAGCCATAAAAGTCGGTCAACCGCCATGGCCGATCGTTCTGTTTGATTCGAACCCGAACGTCAATGAAATTAGGCTCTCCCTTCACAATCACTACTTCGACCTCATCTCTCCATCCAAGAATTAGTCTGCAGCTCAATCCTTCGCTATCGATTCCATAGCTTCCATGGAAGCCAAAGGCCTTGATAATGTCTTTTGCCTTTTGACAACGCAATTTGGTCTCCATCAGAAAACTTATCGACGGTCTATTAGCCTGCGTCATATCTGCGAAGCATTGTGTAGTAGCTGGATTTCCCAAACTCCTACAATTCCAACTTAGTATGCTCATCTCAAAGGTGAGGAAAACACGCCAGAATCTGGCGAAAGCCACACCCGAACCTAGTGACAAAAGTCACTGTCGATACAAACGGCTAGGGATAACCCTAGAAAGACCACCATGAGTGTGCGAAATGTTTAAGAACCTTACTTTTGAGCAATGTAACTTTCACGAGTCATTCATAAGTCAAACAGGGGACCTGGAGCCAGAGTAGAAACAATTGCCAGAACAGAGATGAGCAGCAGCCTTCAGGCCTCCACACCTATCGGCGACTGCCTTAGCCCTTAAGCCACGTAGACGATGACCGTCAGACTTCGAATGTGGACGGCGGAGCTAAGGTTTCAGACGACATCGCTTTTCCTGCAGCAGGCATGTGGAACGAATTTTGGACCTTCAATGCTTCGGCGATGGACACGTGTTGCGGCAGCGGCCACTTGCTTCAGCGGCGGCGATATAGGTCATTTGTTTACTATACACGGTTAGTACGCATATCTTTTTCTAATTTCAAAAATGCATCCTATCTAGAGCTCGAAATAACTACGTAGTATGTTATTACTGATGCCATGGATTATAAAAATATTTCTTATACTTTTGATATGCTTTTCACTTTTAAAGTATCAAGTTCATAACTCATACTATCTCCGATTTGATGTGTTTAGTTTTAGTCACGTTTGACATAATCATTAATAAATTTGTTGAAAAGTAAAATTTGTGATTCAAATTTAGAGAGAATAAAGAGAAATAATGTGAACTACATATGAAATATTTTCTTAAAAAAATAAGGGTGAAACTCCTTCCATGGAATTTCGAACCTAAAACTTCTCATATGGAGTTGAGTTGGACCGCTTTCTCATTTTAAAATAATTTAAGAAGGTAAGTATGACAATTAAAATGGGACGAGTATAATATATACTCTCCTTGTCGATGGACTTCGCCTAAATTCTTTTTATATTTGTCTAAAAAACTTTGGCACTAATATATCTTCTAAATTTTGAAAATAATTTGGGGTTCCACTTAGTTTTCCTTAATTCGTGTGCACAATTCTCAACATCGATCACAATTTTTATAATTACTATTTCATCAATTATAAAATATGAGTGACTAACTGGTTTAAGCATGCATGCATGCAGATGAACAGGGCTTCAATCTTAGCAGATGCAATAGAGTACTTGAAGGAGCTTCTACAGAGAATAAATGACCTCCAAAATGAATTGGATTCCGCGCCATCATCGTCTAGCTCTGCAGTGGCCACAAGCTTTTACCCTGTCACACCTACTGCCGCTGCCGCATCTTCCCTAACTTCCTGCCACATCAAAGAAGAAATCTCTCCAACCCCGCATCCACCAAGAGTACTGTTTCCTTCCCCTTTTTATTTGTTTTAAGAAAATGTTCTTAATAAGAGTAAAAACGTTTGAAAATTTTGAAAAATGTGTGTGTACGTTATTCTTTTAATCTCTAAATAACAATAATTACTGCCAATATTGTCACTTATCACAACATATTGTCATGTTTAAAGTATAATCATATCAAAATATGATATTAAATCTTTAGAAATGCATTAACTTACTCTTATTTAGAAAAAATAATTAACATATCATATCTTAGAATTCTTAAGAGTTTTACACATGTGTCGGGAATTTTCCCCCTTAATTTGCTTTTATTTCTTAATCTCTCCTTATTATATTCGTTAGAAATAATTACATATTTATCACTAAAATTAAATAAAAATTGTTTACAAAAATGTGACTGGTGACTAGAGTAGTAATGGAATCGTTGTAACTTATGTTCAATTTTTGAACTTAAGTTATTATGAAACTATATTGTGTAACTATTAGTCATATTTGTGTAAATAAGTTTTAATTTGGTAATATTTAAAAAAAAACTCTTTTTATTATTATTATTATCATCATCATCATTGTTATTATTATTATAACTATTATTATTATTATTATTAAACTAATAGTATTATTACTGTTGGTGTCTTATTATTACCTTTGAAAGTTCACCACACAAAACGTATTCATGTCATTGCCCATTGGTGATATGAATATATGATGATGGATCATGCACAAACTCACTCCGATCCTTTCAAGTGGCTAGCTAGTCGATCTCAGTGATCTGGGGTTAAAGTAAAACTCGTGATATGAAAGAAAAAACTTTAATTATTTTACCTATTAAAAGAAAACAGACCGAAGTACACAAACAGTTAATTGTGAAAAATGCATGTTTTTACCAAATGTTGGAAATCCGGACCGGCTCAGACCTCAATAACCAATAGCCCAAGGGCTTGCTCACATTCACCACCAAGGTTGCAATAGGGAAGACGAAGGACAACAATCTACTACCCTCACCCAGAGCCCAAACCCAATCTTGAAGACCCACCGGAGATACAACCCACCACACTATCAGACTAGAGTGAAGACCCCAATAGGAACCCCATAGTCTCACCGGAGTATAGCCAGAGCTAAAACTCAGGTTAAACTGGCTCTCTCTCTCACTCTAGATCTAGGGCAACACGCTGAGGAGTTCATCAGATAGAGAGAAGGGGGAGACGAACAAATAAGCGGTTCTGGAAGGAACCAGACAATATAAGAGAAGGGCCACAGAAGTCACGGGCTTGGGCAAAGACAAAAGGGGCGAGTGGGCTTGGTCGGTTGACATCCCAAAAATGAGTCTGGGCAATAAATAGGAGACCAACTCCTTAAATGAGGCGGACCAAAGACAACATAGGGATGGCCCGGGTGAGGTGGACCAATACCATCAACAATCTCCACCTTATTGGTCCCCCTGGTGGTGTAGAGCTTAACCGTGAAAGGGAGTATCATCATCGCCGATTTTTCTGTTTTATGTGTTCTTACCTAGCCACTATCCAAATTAAGAATACATTTACAAGACAACAGTTTTTCAAAAGTAAGACATTTAGTTCCCATATCAACAGGGTTAAATTCAGAAGCTATCTTGGACAGCCTTATCCATCCTGCATCAACAATATTCTTAATGAAGTGAAACCTGACATCAATGTGCTTGGTCCTGTCATGAAATACATGATTTTTGCACAATTAGATAGCAGATTGGCTATCAGAGTAAACTGTCACAACCTGCTTAAGAAAACCAATTTTAGTTAGTATACGTTTGAGCCAAATGGCCTCCTTAAAGGCTTCAGTGGCTGCCACGTATTCAGATTCAGTAGTGGACTGTGCAACAATAGGTTGTAGTTGGGATTTCCAACTTATGCAGGAACCACATAGAGTAAAAATTTAGGAAGTAGTAGACTTTCTATTGTCCCTATCATTTGCATAATTGGAATCAACATAGCCAGTAAGTAAAATGCCAGTATGAGTTTTGGAAAACACAAGACCATGAGAATTGGTGCCCTTAAGGTACCTAAGCAACCATTTCAGGGCATTCCAATGTGGCATCCCAGGGTTGGCCATATATCTGCTTAAGCACCTAACAACATAGGCTATGTCAGGCTTGGTGCTTACCATGAGATAAATGACCGACCCTATTGCATTGGAATAGGGTACAGACTTCATCATAGCAATTTCAGGGTCAATCCTAGTAGACTGATCCTTACTTAATACAAAGTGAGGAGCAAAGGGAACATTAACAGGAAGGGCAGAATTCATGTTAAATATTTTCAAGACCTTATCAAGATAAGAGGTTTGGTTTAGGGTAAGGGTACATCTACTCCTATCCCTAATGATGTTAATCCCTAGGATTCTCTTAGCACTCCAAGGTCTTTCATAGCAAAGTTTTCACAGAGGCACTTTTGAACAGTTTTAATAGCATTCACAGAAGGGCTAATGATAACCATGTCATCAAAATAGATCAACAAGAAAACAGGTACATAAGCAGTATTCTTAAAATACAAGCAGTGATCAGAATCAGACCTTTTGAAACTCAGGGAAGTCATGTATTGGTCAAATTTTATGTTCCACTGTCTGGGAGATTGTTTCAGGCCATAGAGGGCCTTCCTAAGTAGACAAACATGTCTAGGGTACTTAGGGTCAACAAAAACCTCAGGTTGGGTCATGTAAATCTGTTTATCTAATTCACCATGTAGAAAAACAGTGGTAACATCCATATGCTTCATATCCCAGTCATTATGGGTAACTAGGGCAAACATCATCCTAATTGTGGTAAATTTTACTACGGGAGCAAAAATTTCAGCATAGTCTACCCCTTCCTTTTGAGTGAAACCTTTAGCTACTAACCTGGCCTTAAACCTATTGTCATTAGGTTCCTCTTTAACTTTGAAAAGCCATTTGCACTCAACAACAGAACAATTAGGAGTCCTAGGAACTAGGGTCCAAGTTTTATTCAACTTAAGGGAATCTATTTCACTCTGCATAGCACTGAGCCAATTTTTAGATTCTCCAGAGGCAAGGGCTTCCTGGTAGGTTTTAGGTTCATTCAATTCAAGAGTTTCAAAAACAGAGAAAGCACACAAGGAAGTATCATACAGATGAAAAGCATAGTCAATCATGCTATCAGAAATCTTCCTTATATTTCTCCTAGTCCTGTCTCTAGCTAACTGATAGTTATCTAGATTCTGATTCTCAATATTCACTTCATGAAAATCATTGTTATTAGTAGAATCATCTTCAGCAAACACATCATGCACATTCTCATTATTGTTATTAAACCCATTAGGCTGCTCCACCTAACTGGAGGTGGAGAGGGTGTCATGCAAAGTGTTGGTCAAGTCAGGAGCATCGGAAGATTCAAACTCATTAAATAGAGGGGCAACAGTAGTCTGGGTAGGCTCCACCTCACTGGGAGTGGTGCCATCAGAGTTCAGTTATGGGTCAGTCACATTTTTTAATAAGCAAGGAAAATCAAATTCATTGAACACAACATTTCTACTTATTATGACTTTAAAACCAATCTGATTCCTATTCCAGACTCTATAGCCTTTCACACCTTCAGGGTAACCTAGGAATATGCACTTCTTAGACCTAGGGTCAAGTTTGTCAGTCTGTTGGTGTACATAGGCAGCACACCCAAACAATTTTAGGTTCGACAGGTCAAGAGGTTTCTTAGAGAAGACAGACTCAGGGGTTCTACCCTCTAGAGGCACGGAAGGGGATCTGTTTATCAGGTAGGCTGTAGTGTTTACAACATTTCCCCAAAACTTCTTGGGAAGACCAGAAGCGGCTAACATACTCCTAACCTTGTCTAGGAGGGTCCTATTCATTCTCTCAGCCAAACCATTTTGTTGGGGAGTATAGAGCACAATTTTGTGTCTCCTAATCCCACACTCAGTACACAACCTATCCATATCCTTATTGCAGAATTCTAATCCATTGTCAGTTCTAAGGGTTTTAACCTTACATCCAGTTTGGTTTTCTACCATAATTTTCCATTCTTTAAATCTAACATACACATCAGATTTATGTTCTAACAAACAGACCCGGACTTTTCTAGAAAAGTCATTAATTATGGACAGAAAATACCTCCTACCCCCATGGGTAGGGACACTGGAAGGACCCCACACATCTGCATGCATGTAGTCAAGGACATCTTTAGACTTAGGCTCACTGGGATAGCTAGAGGTAGGAAATTGAACCCTATGTTGTTTACCTAAGATACAACCCTCACAGAATGGTATAGGTGACACCAAGTCAGTTCCAAAACACACAGATTTTTGTAAAATGTTCAAACCTTTATTACTCATATGACCAAGTCTTTGGTGCCAAAGCATAGACTTATCAGTGAGTACACCATTAGCATTTTCAGAAAAAGGTTTAGCATGAACAACATACAGGTTATTCTCTTTTAAAGCTTTAAACAAAACCAGAGAGTTTTTCAGGATTTTCATACACCCATTCCCCCAAATTTGCCTCAAGACCACATTCTTCAAAAGCAGAAACAGAAAGCAGATTGTGCCTAGGATAAGGGACATGTCTAACATTTTTTAATTTGAAAACAGTTCCATTTTCAAATTTAAGACTTATGTCACCCATACCATGAACCTTACACTTCTTGTTATCAGCTAGGGACACCTAACCCGAATCACAAGTACTATAAGAAGCAAACGGAGTTTTAAAAGGAGTCATGTGGTAGGTACAACCAGAATCAATTAACCATTCAAATTCAGTTAGGTTGCTTAGGACAGAATTAGCCTGATCACAGATCATGAACACTTCTTCACTAATATCTTTATTGGTCACATAGTCGGCCTGTTCATTTCTTTTGGGTTGGGTACAATCTTTTATGAAATGACTTGAGTTCCCACAGTTATAACACAATCTTTTCTTAGACGTAAACCTTTTCTTCCCAGGTTGTCTACTGTTTTTATCTTGGTTATCCTTCCTAGGGTACCTAGACCTACTCTTAGATCTGC